CCAAGCTAGACATTGGGGAGTAAGATGGATTGCAGGAAAGTACTCACCCGGAAAAAGGCTGTAGACCACAGGAGCTCGGACGAGCAAAAGACCTTGAACGCGAACTGAAAAAACCTGGACGCGAACTGGATGCGAGCTGAAACTCAGGCGCGAGCTCGAGAGAAATACAGAAGTGACAGCGACTGGGGTCCCCCCCCGCTATTTATATTCATAGTGATCGAAAAGCGATGGCTTAGATCAAAGCCAATCCGACGGCCCACAACCGCACGTCCCCTGAGACCGAGACGTGATTGACGCACGTCTTTCTGAAATTGACAGAGTGCCGGCGCACATCTTCCTGAAACTGATTGAGCGCCGGCGCACGTCTTTTCGAAATTGACGGAACGCCAGCGCCCGTCTCCTCAATAAAAGCGGCAGCTGCACGTTTTTTCAAATTTGAAACGACGCCTGCTATCGCGCCTCCCAAGTGGTGCGCTTTTTTGAAATTTTGAAATAAAGTGTGCGCCGTCGCATCTATCAGCGTTTAGGCAGGTCGGCACGTTTCCTGCCTTTTGGGCGCTCAAAGAAACCCAAGGAATCCTGACAACGCACCTCGCGCCATCAGAACCAAGATTCAAAGTACAGGGCAAATCTACCTGACCCCTTGCGAACTCCCCACGCCAGGGCGAGACCCTTAGCGCGAGGAGTGGGGGGCAATTGATGAAGGAAGATTTGGCCCGACCTCGCAATCACTCCACGTGGCACAAACAAATAGCTCGACACTTAAAGCAGCGTACCCAGGGCGCAAGCACCAAAGGGAAGAAACCAGTAGTCTGAACTCCCTTCGAGGAGTCCGAACTCCCTTCGAGGAGCCCGAACTCCCTACGAGGAGCCCAACCTCCCTACTAAGAGCTCGAACTCCCTACGAGGAGCCCGAACTCTCCCTTAGGCCCTGAGCCACAGAAAGCAGTGACCCGAACTGGCCCGCCTCATGGCAGTTCGGGACTCTCCCTATTCGAACTCAAGAATTCACCTCGCACACCACTCCAGCACTTCCTCTCTAGGACGCCAAACTAGATAGACCACACCGTACCTGACACCGAAGGAGTCCGTATCCAGGGGCGGCGCACCTGATTGACTTGGGATCTGACGCTTGACAGCTGCACTTCAACGGCCACCTGCCACCGCCATCTCCAGTTACAGAGCCAGCTCCGACAAAAAGAGCAGTGGCGGTTCTGCCCCAACAGAGGTGATGACACCTGAACTGGAGGAAGCACGGAAGTAATCATACCCAACCTGACAGAAGCTTAGGAGTGAGTGCGTGAGGTGGTTATAAAAGGCTCTCTACCCCCCAAGAACATGGTATGCAAATTTTGCGCTATCTGGTTTTATCTTGCCTTTGAAGGATTCTAACTTGAGCTTCAGAGCCTTTACACCGGGTTCCCCCCGGAGCTTCCTCATCTTCTCCATTTCAGGTTCCCTACAATTCAGTTCAGAGGCAAGATCGTTGACAATTAAAACCGACCGGATTGCGCACCATAAAAAATAGACTGAACTATATAAAAAGGCCAAAAAAACATATAACTGAGGTGCTTTACGAGAAAGAATGAACATTAATATTTCTTTGCTTATTCCAAAGGTCTAATATTGCCATCTAAATGACTCTATGCCAATTAAATAAATTTTGGTTCGGTTGAACCAAGACCTTGATTTACTTGTAAAAATACAGACAAGGTGTTTATAACCAGTCAAACATTACCCTTTCTCTAGTTTAATTAGGTCACATTTGATTACTTTCAACCGGGGAGTATGAAATTAAAAAAAAAATTGATTTTCGATTTTCCAAGGCAATACTTTTGAAAAATTATAAAAAAAATCTAATTTTGTAAGTGATGGTCCATTTTTTTCAAATGGTTCATAATAATTAAAATGCCCTCTTTTATTTTTCAATACCGCAGTGGCTTTGAAAGAAAGACATATTTTTGCTTTATTCAGATGATAAAAAAGAGATGTCTCACTTTTTCAAATGTTAGATTTCAGTTTTATCAAATTCCACCAAAGTAGTATGGTAATATTCCATCGTCCATACAGGCCAACAAGCAAATTATGTACTTGTCCACACGCAGAGATTAAGATCATTCATTAATGAAACATCTACAGAAAATTAAAGAAAGAAAGGGTCATGCAGAGGAATGATTCGTTTTAAGTCCATTTTACCATAACTGGATAAAGAAAATGTGATCGATTTATTAGTCAAAATTGGAAATTACTTAATCCGATTTCCTAGATATTAAAACAAAGAATTTCTAAAATAAAACTAATCTCATTTCCTAGATATCAAACCAATTTGATGGATTCAAGGAAGAAGTTGGCAAACCATGGCTAACAGTACTGTTTCCTCAGCCTCAGGTGATTGTTGTCACTGGACAATTAAGGATCCGTTTTGAAATTTTGATGATTAAGAGGAGTGACGCTTTGGATTGAATTGAAAGTAGCAATTGAATCATAAATTGGTACAAATATGCAGCCTTACTCTGCTCTAGCTGCCTAGCTCTACTCTATATGAATAAATTATAAAAACATTAATAAATTGGAGAGAGAGAGCAGACAAGTTTGGCTGGTTCAGGTGCATTACACTGGACTCTGTCTCAAACCCCAAAGCCATGAGGTCCATGACCTGCTGCAAATCCGATTGTCCTCACAGCTGTTTGCTCTGTAACACATATCTCCCACTTAACCACTTCGATTATTTCCTTCTGGTTTTATTCACCTGAAAGGTGCACAGGAATAACCACTGCACAGATCAGTGGCACTATTGTAAGGAAACAAGGCAACGGGTCGTCTCGCCGGCAACTGGGGAATGGACCTCTCCATATTCAGCATCTCCACCACCTCTTCCATCGTCGGCCGTCCACTTCCCTCGTTCATTGTGCACAGCAAACCTATCTCCACCACCCGAAAAGCTTGTTCCGGGTTATAAACCAATCCCATCCTCCTATCCACCACCTTCCCCTTCTCCTCTCTCTCATGCATCCTCCATGCAAAATCCAACAGCTCTTCCCCTTCTTCGTCCGAATTCTTACTCCCCGCCACGATTTCCAGCGCCACGATCCCGAATCCAAATACATCCGCTTTCTGAGCCACATCACGGCTCGACACGGCGGGCGCCCCCAAGATGAACCCGAAATCTCCTAGAACCGCTCGAAAGCTGACGTCCAGGAAAACGCTGCTTGTCTTCACGTTCTTGTGTGCGAGTTTCTTCGAGTGGAGGAAGCTTAACGCTTCGGCGACGTCCTTCACGACCTTGAATCGTCGACTCCATGGAAGGACTCCAACTCCAAATAGCCATCTGTCCAGACTTCCATTGGACATGTAATCGTACACAACCATAGTTTCGCGCTTATCGCAGCACCACCCCCTCACGGGTACCAAGTTTGGGTTACGAACTCGGCTAATTACACCGATTTCTTTAAGAATTCGCCGACGATCCGCGCCTGTCGAGTTCAGGAAACGAGTTGAGAACCGCTTCACCGCCACGTGACAACCGTTATGCAGCATTCCTCTGTAGAAGATACCTCCCGTGTCGCTTCCCAGTACCTCCGCCTCACTGAAACACCGAGTCGCCGAAGAAAGCTCGGCGATGGAGAACCGACGGGGTTTATTGGGTGGTCTCGGCCGTTGCTTTTTGTCGGGAAGAATGACGAGCGTTGATTTCTCTTTTCTACGCTTGCCGTTGTAGTAGAGATTGATCAAAACCACGAGGCAGAGAACGACAACTGCGACGAAGATCATGAAACTGCTCGGCGGTTTTCTGTGAGCTGGTTCGGTGGCTTTCGTGGCTTGGAGGAAGATCTTGGTCTCGCACGTCTCGGTGGAGGGAAAACGAAGTGCAGCTCGACTAGTAGAAGAGAAGTTCCATGATAGCACGTTGTGGATTTGAGTGAGATTGCCGGTGGAAGCAGAGAAGCCAACGAACATGTACTCTTTAAGGAAAGGTGATAAATCGAGCGGCGCCGAAAAGATGGGTGTTGATGGGTAAGCTTGACCGTCTGGTCCGAGACGGATGTCGATCCATTTCCGTTCACCGTCGTATGTAATCCAAGCCCGATGAACGGAGCCGTCTCTAAGATAAATCCCAACATCGGAGGCGTTGATGGTTGTGCTGGATAAGATGCTACCGAGGTTGATGCCCACGTGGTTGTCATTGGGATCGCCAAACTCCAGATTTCGACGGGTGTCGAATTCGACGGCGAAGGCCTTGTAGTCGTCGTCGCAGGCGTCGTTCAGCATCCCCAGCCACGGGCCGGGTCGGCCGACCGTCACCTCGTCGGGGACAATGATAAACGTGAGACCGCTGCCACCGTGACTTCCGTCGCTATAGTTGGAAGTTGAAATTGGGGCGGGGGGCGTAGGGGTGGTGTCGAACTGGATGGAGAAGGTGGTTTGGAAGGAAGCGGGAGTCTGGGTAGGTGGATCGAAGAGGCGAATGGGAGAGGAGAAGATCGCTCGTCCTGCTTGATGCCTGAGATCAAGTGCTCGAATTGGATCAGGGATTTGGATGGAACCCTTAGAGTCGGAGAATTTCGCATTGCCCAACAGCTTAACTTCATGATGGATTCTGGGGTTGGTGCTGGGGTAGAAATCTGCGAAATACAGATGCTTGAATATGTCTGTAACAGGTCCATCGAGTGAATACACTAGAAACGAAACTGGATTTAAGATGATAAGAGAGATAATTGTTGAACAGATTATTGAGCAGAAAGGAGAACGATCAAACTCCATCGCTAGTGATAGAGAAGACGGGAAGAGGTAGCAGAAGCACTTCGGGCTTCGGCTGGATTGAGATCATGCTTCTTGCGCTTTGCTTGATTAATTTGGATAAGTAATACTTAAAATTATAGGGAGCTACCTGCACTTTGGTTTAGTGACAATTAAGGGCTTCCGCTTTCACTCGTGACAAAGAGGTATCTGTAATTCGAGAAATCAACACTCAAGTCCATTTTGAAATTTTTAAAATTACTATTAACCTCAGTATTTATATTATTTTATATGTATTTATACTGTACATATTTGCATTTGTATTCCTTTCAAACTGAACCTAAATCTCTAAAACTCTAATGCTGTGTTTGATTCCAGCATAATTTTATTTGCATTAGTATAAATGTATGGGTGTGCAAAGAAAAAAAATGCAAATTTTGGTTTAATTTTGTTTTGAATTTTACTTTATTCTATCTTATTTTACTTCATTCTTAATGCAATCAAACAAAGCAAGGTAAAATTTAAAATAAAAATAAATTAAAACTTGCAGTCAAATCATTTGTACTACAGCCTAATTGTTAACCCTTTCAATTCAATTTTCATTCTCCAAGTCGAAGAATTACGGCATTGAAGCAATGCAACAATTTATGCATTGATATCTATTTGTATCTGATGAGGGCATATTTGGCCCTCCACTGACATCATGACACATGGCATCGTAGAACAGTTGGATGGCATCCCATCATCACCTAAGGGATGATTTGCCTTAACCAAAATGATGGAGTCCTATCTAGCGACCTGGTGACCAGCCTCTATCGCCGGCCTGGCGACCTGTCTCTACCACCAACCTAGCAACCTGTATCTACCACCGACCTGGCGACTTGCCTCCACCGCCGATATGGTAGAAATCTAACTGGTGACCTCGTCTACAACTTAGGGCGGTTTGTAGCATCTCATCCAGGGCCGACATGTGGTACCTCATCAATACCGACCGAAGTAACCTTGACGTGAGGAGCGACCTCCCTTGAAGGCTTGTCGACCTGATTGAGGTCTAGGTGGCGACATGTGAGACATGCTTGCCGACCAACTCTTCATGCATCTCGTCACTCCCGGATCTCTCGAAAGTTAGTTCTCACACCGAATGTTCCAGAGGAAACCGAGTAAGAAGCAAAAGGTGGCCTACATGCATGATTACCTCAGAGGACTTTGGACCAGTTAGGCACGTATTCCCGGAGATCTTGGACGCAGTGCATGATGCCCACGCCAAACAATGCCTATATAAAGGCCTTACCTCAAACCTCAGAAGGTAGATACGCAACGTAGCTCTCTAGTTCTCTTACTTTCAGCTCTCTCACAAAATCTCCACATTCGCAAACTTAAGCATTGGAATCCCCACCCCGGGTAAAGATGCCCGGGCACTCTAACACTGTTTCCATGCAGGTCACACCAGTAAACTATGCAACTCGCCATCTTCAGCTAGGGACAGTTCATATAGGCATCAGAGCCACCTTCATCTATGGACAGTTCAGCTAGGCGTCAGAGCCACCTTCCAGGTAGGGACAATTCAGCTAGGCGTTAGAGCCGCCTTCTAGGTAGGAACCGTTCAGCTAGGCGTCTGAGCCACCTCCCATCTCGTCACCATTTAGCTAGGCATTCGAGTCACCTGCCAGCCAAGAACTGTCAAAACGCGTATCATCAATTGGCGCCGTCTGTAGGAAACGCTATAAAAGGCTAAGTTCTCACCCGATTCTCTGAGCCTCAAGTAATAGCATCCTCAAGCAACAACAACATCGTTTGATCGAAAGAACCCCCCAGGGGGCAGAATCAAAATGCCCAGACGAGTTCTCGCTGTCTTGCCTGGAAAGAATCTCCCTAACTGTGAGGTCACCCCTATAGGTTGAGCCCTATGTGCTCTCTACTAGAGTTGACGGCCAACAGAATGTAAGGCCACCCCGTAGGTCGAGCCCTCCGTCATTCCCATGAGAGTTGATAGCCAACAAACTGTGACGTCGCTCCACAGGTCGAGCCCTCCATGTTCTATGTGGGAGTTGATGGCTAGCAGGTTGTGGAGCCGCCTTCACAGGTCAATCCTACCGAGGTGACGAGGTGTCTGTAGCAAGGTTCAAAATATCGATACGCCGGTATGGGCGTATTGAGCGAATCGACATAATGTTTCAGGCCTTTTTTTGGCAATTGGTTCAAGGGGGCCGTTTTAGGTCTCCTCTACCCCCTGAACCAGTCAAACCTCCGATACACCCATTGTAGGGGCATATCGGAGGGGTCCCAGAACGATACGTATCGGCTGATACGGGCCGATATGTGTCAATACTTTGAACCTTGGTCAGTAGGCCAAGGTGTTGAGAGAAAAACTCGACTGCCAAAATTTCGTCGACTTGGCGACCTGGAGACCTACCTCTACCGACCTAGCGACACACGTGATTAGCCCGGACAAGCCTTGTTAGCCCTGTTCGCGAGGTCGCCTCTACAGGTAGAGCTCTTCGTGGCTCTTGCGTGAGTTGGCGGCCAACAGACTGTAGTCGCCCTTACGGGTTGAGCCTTTAAAGGTTCCCATGCAAGTTGGTAACCTGCGGTTAGTAGAGTTGGCCCCATAGGTTGAGCTCCTTGTGGCTTATCGTAGGAGTAGATGACCAGCACCTCCGAGGACTGACACAGAGCAGCCGTGTCACCGACCCGCTATTCAAATGCCAACAACGACCCATGTATTACAAGAGGAAGCCAAACCTCGAAATATGTTGGTAACAGGACAAAGGACTACAATAAAGCTACTCCCTTCGCTGAGCTAATCTCAGCTCGGGAGTGGGGGCTATTGATGATGGCAGATTTGACCCTCCACTTACATCATGACACATGGCATCATAGAACAGCAGGATGGCATCCCAGCATCACCTAGGCGATGACTTGCCTTAGCCATAATGATGGAGTCCCACTTGGCAACCTGGTGACCTGCCTCTGCCGCTGACCTGGTGAACTGCCTCTGCCACCAACCTGGCAACTTGGCAACTCGTCTCTGCCACTGACTAGGCGACCTGCCTCTATCGCCAACTTGGCAACTTTTCTCTGCCGCTGACCTAGTGGAAATCTAGCTGGTGACCTCGTCTACAACTTAGGGCGACAAGTAGCACCTCGTCTACAACTTAGGGCGACTAGTAGCACCTCGTCTAGGGCCGACCTGTGGTACCTCATTAGTACCGACCGAAGTGACCTCGATGTTATGAGCGACCTCCCTCGAAGGCTTGCCGACCTAATTGAGGCCCAGGTGGCAACTTGTGAGACATGCTTACCGACCAACTCTGCATGCATCTCGTCATTCCTTGGTCTCTCGGAAGTCAGTTTTCACACCGAATGTTCTGGAGGAAAACGAGTAAGGCACAAAAGTTAGCCTACATGCATGATTACCTCCGAGGAATTCAGACCAGTTAGGCACGTCTTCCCGGAGATCTTGGACGCGGTGCGTGATGCCCACGCCAAACAATGCCTATATAAAAGCCTTACCTCCAACCTCAGAAGGTAGATACACAATGTAGCTCTCTAGCTCTTTGACTTTCAACTCTCTCACAAAATCTCCGCATTCGCAAACTTAAGCATCGGAGTGCCCACCCCGGGTAAAGAAGCCTGGGCACTTTAACACTGTTTCTTTGCAGGTCGCACCAGTAAACTATGCAGCTCGCCACCTTCAACTAGGGACAGTTCAGCTAGGCGTCAGAGCCACCTTTCAGGTAGGGACAATTCAGCTAGGCGTTAGAGCCACCTTCCAGGTAGGAACCATTCAGCTAGGCGTGTGTGCCACCTCCCAACTCATCACCATTTAGCAAGGCATCCGCGTCACCTGCCAGCCGGGAGATGCCAAAATGTGTATCATCAATTGGCGTCGTCTTTGGGAAATGCTACAAAAGGATAAGTTCAGCTAGGCGTCAGAGCCACCTTCCAGGTAGGGACAATTCAGCGAGGCGTCAAAGCCACCTTCTAGCTCGTCACCATTCAGCTAGGTGTCAGAGCCACATTCCAGGTAGGAACCGTTCATCTAGGCGTCCGAGGCACCACCCAGCTCGTCACCATTTAGCTAGGCATCTGAGTCACTTGCCAGCTCGTCACCATTCAACTAGGCATTCGAGTCACCTGTCAGCCGGGAACTACCAAAACGCGTATCATTAGTATCATTTTACAAATTTATTTTCTCATATAATTAAACTATAAATGAGCATTGTGATTGTCACTCATCATTAGGTGGATTAACAGGTTTAGACTTAAATGATGATTTTTGAAAGTATAAGGTACCTCGCTCTCATAAGTGAAAGACAATGGCCTTCTTGATTTGTAGGAATAGGGTAATGGAATTAGAATTGGAATGGGTCATTCTAATTCCAACTATTTGGTTGGACAGAATGGGGAATCTCATTATCATTCTTGGTGAAATGGTATTCTCTCATTTGAAGGAATGACATTCTTTCATCCTCCCTTGGAAATGAAATCTTATACCAGCTAATTCCAATTTCCATTCTTATTCCTATATAAATCAACTGAAATTGGAAATAGATCCTATCAAACTTTTAATTCCAATTTGACTGGAACCAAATATTGACTCTTAAATGCGATGTCATATGGCTTAAGGCTGTGTTTGGTTTGAAGAAAAATGTAGAGAAAGGAAGGAAAAGGCAAAGAAACCTTTACAAACCTTATATATGTTTCCCTATCTTTTCCTTCAAACCAAGCATAGTCTAAAGGAATAATTGTATTTTACAAGCAAAATGAGAAAAGAGAACTGCAATGCAGATGGAGTGATGGCGAGGCGATGTTGGTGGTAACTGGTAAGAAAGGGTTTGTAAAGTAATGTCAGACCTGAATAATGGAGTTGGAGGCCAAGCACAGCACATGGTGATGGATAGAAGTGAGTGAGAGAAGTAGGAGGGCGGGCGTGGAGAGACATGAACCACTAGTAACCAAGGTATTTGGTATGGAAAATTGCAAGTGGAGGAGAGAGTCCCTTCGAACTATATCTATCTGACGGGAATCATTTCTCAATCTTTCTAATCTTTCTCTGTTTCAGTGAAAGGACAAGCTGGACGAAGCCCCTCCTGCTGCTCCTGCTTTCTTCATGTTACCTTCGCTTTCAGCTTTACATCTTTGTCCAGTTTGTTGGATGATTTGGAATAATCTCTGGGTCATTTATCTCTCTCGATCGCTATCTCTGGTAAACTTTATATAAGACAAGGACAAAATATCTTTACTTATTCAGTACGGAAGCACGAAGAAGAGAGGATACTGAGAGATTATATTGATTGCAATCGAAAATACGAATTCACAGTCACAGGCCCCAAACGAAAGAGAAGCGTGGAAAACTGTCATCTCAAAAATTATTATCCCAGCCGTTCAATGCATAGGACGGCCGGGTTTAAAGCTATACCGCATAATGCAACGCTTGATTGCTAAAACCATAGAATGGATTAGCTGGACCGATTGGCAACTAGACCAATGGAATGGAAGCGAAAGCGATAACACGCCACCTAACTAGTGTGGATGAATTTGTCTCCAGCCCATCCAATCACTCAGTCCGGATGAGCTGGAGACAAAATTATACACACCCGGCTGAACATTCAACTGTGATAGGTAATTCAGCCGGGTGTGTATCTATTTGATTTCCTTTGCTTCATATTTCATTTTCTCTAATATACTTGTAAATTCACGGTCCTTACTTTTTATGAAAAGGGTTATTTGCTTTGAAGTGTAATTATATATAACAAGAATCAAATTATTGGTATTGGGTATCATATGGGACAGCTTCAGCTCAAATATGATATGGATAAAAAAGAAAGATATGAAAATGCTTAGATATACTAGAAAAATGCATACAAATCTCATAAATACGTTAATAACACTAAATTCAAAACTGAATTACCAATGAATAAGGTATAAAGACATGATAAATGCACACTTTAAAAAATTATATGAATATAAATATTATAATCAACAAGACCGGGACTCTAGAACACGTATACATCATATGATAATTATCACTCTATTTCTATTTTTATAATTATAATTTTCAATTTGTGTTAATTTTTTATCAAAATTTATTTATTTAGTATTTTTATTTAAGTAATTAATAAGTTTTCATTTTTAACAGGTAATTTATATGTGAAAAATAAAATATAAAACATTTAAAGTAAATAAAATAAATCATTTTTATAAATTTTTGAGAAAAAATAAATCTTAAACTATTTGTTTCAATTTTTTATAAATATAATCATATTTTAGTTTTTGTAATTATAATTTTCAATTTTAATTAAATTTTAACAAATTATTCAAAAACAAAAGAACAGTCAATCTACAATTTCATCAAACTAAGCACCGATATCAATGTGTATACACCATCTACCAATATAGGAAGGATATGGTTCAAAATGGAAGCATATCGTTCCAACACACACTTGTGAAATACATACCCAATCATAACATATAAAAGATGATAGCCTGTATCGAGAGTATCCTATCAGTACTTTACAAATTAGGGAGGTAAAATACTGTTGTCTCCACTTTAAATGAGAACGAACTGATTTATTGAAGTTGAAGGAAAATGTTTCACACAAGGATTAAGGTATCGATACGATACTCCCAATACGGGGCATATCCATGATCATGGATACTAGATACACTACGACTGGATACATATCTTACGAGTCGTGCATATCGATATGATATATCTTCTTATTGGGTCATATCGCACCGTATCAATGAATATGGTCTAATTCACACTGATATGGAAATGTATCCTTGTCTAACTTGATAAAATTGTACATTGAGTACTTTAGGATTGTTTTTTATCTTTAATAGAAGTTAAAAAATAGTATTATGAAAACAAAAAAAAAAATAAGATTTAATTTTTCCAAAAAATTTAATAAAAACTAAAAATTATGAAAATAATATATTTCATCTACCTTAAATGATTTATATATTTTATTTTACACAATTATATGTTAAAAATGAAAACATAATTATTATTTGAAAAATAGTTATTATATAAAAAAACTAAATAAATAAAATTTTCCAACAAAATTAATAGTAAACAGAAAATTATAATTACAAAAACTGAAACGAAAATTTAATTTTCCAAAAGAAAAAATAAAAACTAAAAATAAATATAATTTATTTTATCTACCTTAAATGATTTTTTTGTTTTATTTTACAGTTATGTGTAAAATAAAAACATTATATGTTAAAAATGAAAACGTATTTTTTATTTAAAAGATAGTTGTTATTTAAATAAAATATTAAATTGATAAGTATTCTCAAAAATGATAAAAATGAAAATTATAATTATAAAATTAAAAAAATGATATTTACTGTACAATGTTTAAATGTTCTAGAGTCCCAATATTGTTTATTGTAATATTCCTCAGTACCAAAATCTGAAACCCTAACATACATTTAAAAAGAAAACCTTGTGTGGGACTGCTTAGATCAGCGTTATTGCTTTTACTTGCAGAAGCTTCATATGGATATGAAGAAGACACACATCGCAGTCTTGCACATCCAAAGCCACGGTCACCTTGCACATCCAAGGCTTTCGGATTTTGGAGCCTTTCTCTTGCTCTCTGTTTAAAATGATTTTAGTCATATAACTAACATTAAAGCTTCGGGCTGATTGTAGATGCTGATTAGGGAACGGGATCTGCTTCTCACACGGGCGCCTCACAAGAACATCTACCGTGCAATGAGAACATCCTCATGAATAATAAGTTATAAAATACGGGAGAAGTTCCCGATGCATGGTAGGATGTGCGTGTGAGGCGCCCTGTGTGAGGAGCAGATCTGGTCTCATTGATTAAGTGAGAACTGTCAAAGTTCTAGTGAACTCGAAGTGAAAATCTCTTCCAAGTTTCAATGGACTCGAAGAGAAAATCCCTATCAAGATTGCAACAGGCTGTTCGCACGGGTTTGCCCTGACCGAAGCCAATGAGGTCAATGATAAATCTGATTGACACCCCCCACCCAACACACTCTCAAAGGAAACGCAGTAACCATGTAACATGTATTTCCCCACGGAGTACGAGTCAAACAATTATAGCATGGAATTGAATAAAAAGTATTATTACACACAGTTTTAAATTCCAACTCTCCAACTAGTAATTATAACATGTGATTAAATAAAAAAAGTTTGATAGAACAAAATTTTAAATTCCAACTCTCTTACAATTTGGAGACATCTCAATAAACCGGGAGAACAAACTAACAAAAAAGAAAAAGAAACTGTATTAAAGCCTTCTCCTAAAAATAAGAGAACATTTGAAAAGAAATCATCCGTCCTTACCTAGTTAGTTACCTAATCACTCGTCATCAGCAATTGTTCCCTTATCGCTTACATAGATACCATCAAGGAACTTCCTTATATCTTTGTTCTTTACATGGCATTTCTGTTGTACAAAACCGGGAGAGTATGAGAAAGCGAGGAGCAATATAGAGGAACACATACACACAGACAGAGAGAGAGAAACTGACCTGGTTTATCAAAGCTGCTGACCGGGAGACAAGCTCAATATCATTCCCATCTAACACGAGTTCATCCTTGACCTTTTCAGACCGGATAATGGTTACACCGTCAAGCATATCCACCTTTCTCACCTGAAGAAACAAAAATATATATTAATGACAGCAAAGATCCACCATCTTGCCTGCCAAAAAAACCAAATATCCTCCATTTGAAACTAAATATAACTCTGAAATAACATGATAACCATCCGCATATGCCCGATTCCTCTACACATGGATTGCCTAGAGTTGACAAAAGATGTGACCAGACTAAAATTTTCTAAAGTAAAATCAGATTTCTCAAATGGCTGCAAAACAAAACCCTGAACACCAATAATATCTTCCATTAGCAAAGCATTTCAGGGAAAGCAAGGCATGCCTAAAACATCACATGACTGATGAAGCCCATAAACCTAGTGAATCAATTTTGAAGCTTGATAAAATCTAACCAGGAATCAAAAATCTGAAGGCAGCATAAATAAGCAGATACATTTTATCTCACAGTCACTGATTTTCACACGAGCAATGGCCCCCATCTAAAATTGCAATTGCAGAAAACCAATTGCTGTATAATAACCAGTCTATTATAGGTGATGAAACACTGGCTATAAACAACCTTGTCCGGAGAAGTCAGCATGGCAATGTTCTAAAAATCATAACTACATGTAAAATTGTATTTAAAGAATGTTGAATTGAACGAATTTGTGGGCCCTATTGTAAATCATATCATCATTCTTTTCTAAATTTGTCAAAAATTCATTATCATCTATGCTTTGTCCCATATCTACATATGGTCAGCTAAAGGCTACATGAATTCTGTGCTGTCATTCCTTTCTGTATACCTTGTCCATTATTAATTTTGCCAAAAATTTAAAGAAAAATATAAAAACTTGAATATATAGAAAAGTCATTTTAATCCATTTTTAATATGATAAGAGTTCCCCACTTCCCCCAATTATACATTGCAGCCAATAAGACGACATAATCAAGTTCAATTTAAATTGCAACTAATGCACATAAAATGGATCTTTGACCTACATATCATCGAAAATAGGTTAAATATGGTTCCTTAAAGAATTTCTCATAAGGATTTCAAACCAAGATACCCTTGCAAAAAAAAATAAAAGAAACAAAGGAATGACAAAGTAGAAAACTAAGACTCGATAGAATTTATTCAAATTTCATGTAGTATGAAATGATCTAAGCACTTATAACAATGGATATGGCACTCAACAGAATAGAATGCAAAAAAAAGTATTCATGTAGCCCACCCCTTATAGTTGGGATAAGGCATAGATGATGATGATAAGCTTGACAAACCACCAAATAAGAGGATTCAAAAAGTAATCAAAAGATTATTGGAGAAAAGGATTTGAGCTCAAAACTTGAACCAAAACGCAAACTGTGCATAGAACTATCACCAAAAGCAGCCATTTTGATGTATAAGGTTGCTGCATGCATCTAATGGTACAACAAGCCATTGAAAGGTGTAATTCTTAACCATATCATCTACATCTACAACTTCATCGACAAGGTGGAAACCTTTCCTACGCAGGGTTGCTCTGATTGCCAAGTTAATTAGGCTACCCATATAAAATTTTCTGGATTTCATTTATCTTTTCCTTCTTCTGTTTAGGTTCCATTCTAAGTTTCTAACAAGCTAAAAATGTATGATAAACAATGATTGGGTTTGTGCGTTCTATTTCTGTAACTATGACTTCTTGTCTATGCACTAAATGGAATGGAATGGGGAAACGGGATTCGTGTAGGGGACCACATATAGTTGGGAGAAGGCATAATGAAAGTTGATTACTCGCCAACGTGAATGGTTGACAATAAGCAAATATAACAGTTCACCTCAATTCAAGAAAGCATCATTCTAATTATGTATGGTCCGTGAAACAAATCCTGACATGGACAACAAATTAAGATATGCTTGGTTCACTTAAATATACATTGTTAGCAATAATAGATATTGATTTTAGCAAACGTCTGACTTGATAGATAATGCATATGCAACTTCAAGTACATAAACAATGAATATTAGCAGACTCAAAGCCTCGAACAACATTAACATCACGATTCTGCTATTCTAGACCAACATGAAAAGACAAATCGCGAACCAAATTAGCTCCTTGCGGTGCAGAACAAGGTCTGCCTAGTGAAGGGTGTATAGTATAGCAAGGGCACAACATTAGGCGACTCCTTTTAATTCTGAACTTGAGCAAGTAGATTACAAGGGATAGAAGAAATTGAGATTCAGCGATAAAGTGCCATCAACTTCATTCGTAACCCTTACTAAACAAAATGTCTCTTGATGAAATGTTTGGATTTTAAAGCCCAATGGATCCAATGCCATGTGGCCATGTCCCCCAGGTATAGGTAGATATTAACAAAGACACTCTTATGAAGAAAACGCTGGCAAGTTAACATTGTATTTTACCTTCTTCTCACCAAGGAAGTTACGGATCTCGATGCTCTTGTTGCCGTTGGCGATGTTGGCGTTGATGGGAAAGTGAGCATAGACGAACCTCATCTTGTATCGGTAGCCCTTGGTGACACCCTTGATGAGATTCTCAACGTGGCTGAGGGCTGTTCGGATCGCCGCAGTGGTCTTTCTAGAACCAAACCAGGCTTCGATCTTGAGTTTCTTCTTCCCTGACTCATCCTTGATAAGCTGAAAATCCAGGTTGAGGTGCTTGAAGTTCCTGCTGAGTTTTCCTCGGGGACCCTCCACCTCGATGATCTTCGCCTTGACCTTAATCTTCACTTCATCAGGGATGTCCATCGTCTCCGACGACAAGATCGTCTTCATCTTTCCCCCCTCTGTTTCTCTCTACCTTTCCTCGATGTATAATCAGGGTTTAGGAGTCGGCGGAGCAGAGAAGCAGCAAAGAAACCCTAACCTAATTTATAGCTAGGTTCTGAAAGAGTCGGGCTCTGCTGCACTTGGCGCTGAGGCGTGCACTTTTATGCAAACGAGATCACACATGCATCGCAAAGCAGATGGGAGATCCAAACCAGTGTTAAAAAAACCGGATTAAACCGAAAAGAAGAAGAGATTCACGGGTCATACGGGTCGAACTATAATATTGATTTTTATTATACTTAAATATGTTAGATGGATGTGAAGTTTTTCAATTTTTAAAACAAATGGTTAGGTTTCAAATCTCTTAATTTACATATTTTTATATACTAGTAAAAGGGTACGTGCTATAAACATGTATTTAATGTGAAAATATATATATTAATAAAACTGTTTAATGTGAAAATATATATATTAATAAAACTATTTAATATGAAAAATAATTTTTAAAGTAAAATTAATAAAAAAATCACATTATGACCCCTAATGTACACAAATTATTACAATTTTGAAGAATAATAGATTACATGATAATTATTCTAATCAATAATTATCAATAATATACAAAAAAAAAAGAGAATCGAGAGTGGATAATCAATTTTATTAATTGGATAAGTATTATTTGTCTTTTATTATTCTATTACTACCACTACTACTACTACTACAATGGAAACTGATAATTATATTTATAATTTTAGTAATTTGTTATAAAAATAATTTAATAATTTACATTAAATATATTAATGTTTTTTAATAAAAATAATAAAATATTGCTAATTATTCTTTTTTTAAGCCCCAAAATTTACTCCTAGTGGAGGGGTGGCCACCGAAACTTTATTGATATGCAGAAAACCTTGGGGGGGGCGTGAATATTGCTAATTACTTAATAGATAATTATTTTTTTTATTTTATCTGTTAGTATTTTATTTTATTGATTTTACTTTATCAATCATTAAATGTTATAATTAAATTAATCTATAGATTAACTTCTTTAGTCATAGTTAAATTAATCTAAGCCCAAGCTCAAGGTTTAAGATTGTGAAACAAATCCTTGTCCCCTTCCTCACTTGGGTATCATTATCAATCCCCATCCCTACCAAGGCAATATCCATCCTCAGCCCCATCGGGTTAGGGAAGCTAAGTACCCAATGGGATGGGGAACATTGCCATCCCTATTCACATTCAAATCCTATTAATTGGTTAGTTGTCAAAAAACTATAATTCAAAACCTAATAAATAAAATTAAATTTTAGCAAATTTTTACCTAGCAACTATTAAAAATTAAGAAATTAATAAAGATTAGTAATTTATAAAATAACAATAAAAAGTAAAAAAAATATTAAAAATAATAAAATAAACCACTCGCATTCCATTTAAAATTATAGAATTTAATTAAAACATTAAAACTAATAAAGACCTAATTATAAATGTCTTAAGACTCCTACTTAGGGATGATCATTTATAACTTAGCTTAAACATGGCTAAACCAACAAATTTTTGGGCGCAAGCAACTATTTTCTTCTGAGTTAGGTCTAGCTCAGATCTACACCATCCCCATACAATGTAGATAGTAGGATTGTAAATGGTTTGGATTCAGATTTGAACCAATTGCATCCGCATCCAAATCCGATTATATATGAAATCTAGATCCACATTTTGCATATGATTATTATGTTGGGTTTTGGATCATCTTCACATTTAATCTGCAACCATCTTATTGTGTTTAAAATGACAAAAATTAAAAAGTTTTAAAAATCAATTATTTTTAAAGTAATATGTATAATAAATGTATATAAATATAAAATATTAAATTTATCAATTATAAACTTTATATAGTTATATATAATATATATGTATACATAATTATTGGATTCTGATTGCTATTGTTTGGTTCATTTGGAGTTGGAATTGAAATCAACTGACAATTTTATTAATATTTTACTATTTTATTAGTCTTTAATAATTAATATCTTTGTTTGCTATTATTATTTTAGTAACATTTTATTATAGTACTATTATTTTATTATTATCTTAATATTAATTTAATAATATTTTATTACTATATTAATATTAGGGTTTTGTATCATGAGTTCTTTAGTCCTTTAAGGGGGGCCTAAAATACTAAAACGTCCCTACATCACCCCCTTAGTCTCTTTAATAATATAAATGCTATCTCTCTCTTTCTCATTAACTCTCTTTTAATTGTCTCTCTTCTATAATATAATTTCTCTCTCTCTCTCTCTCCCTCTCTCTTTCTCTCTCTCTCTCTCCCTCTTTAATAATATAATATCTTGATAATAGAGTGCGACTTTAAATATTAATGTTATACAATTTTGTTAATGACAATATTTATTATTTTATATTTTTAAAACAAAAGAAAAAAATACAAAAAAGGAGAAAATAGATAAATACCTATGCTGATTTTTGTAAATACAAATATACTTATTATTTTATATTTTTAATGAATGTTTATTTTATTATTTTATTATTTATTATTTTTTATTATTAATCTTAATTATCCTATTAATATTAATTATACTAATCCTTATAAATGGTCACCCCTAATACAAATTAATACTAATTTTTATTAATTTATTAACTTTTAATAGTTGCTCGATAAAAACTTGCTAAATTTTAATATTTGTATTAACTTTAGTAATTTTTATTAATTATAGTTATTAGGTTTCAAATTATATATAACTTATTATTGTTATTATTATTATTATTATCATCATCATCATTATTATTATTATTATTATTATTATTATTATTATTATTATTATTATTATTATTATTATTATTGCATGTTGTGTATCACATTACGGGTTTTTAGATAGACCCGTTTAGCTTGTCTTCTTCGTATAAGTGATAAAACGGGTTCTACATTTTAAATTTTCATTAATTTTTTATTTTTATATCATTTTTAATGGGTTTTCTATTTTATCTAAGTCTCTTGTGTAGTATGGGCACTATGCACAATAAAGGTCTCAACTCATAAAAATTATTAATTTTAACAATATTATTAATTAATTAACATATATTAATACAAATTTATCTAATAAAATAAAAATGAATAAACAAAACAAAATACAACATTAGAACCTGGGTTTTACTTGCAATATATCAAACCCATATTTAAATCGTAATATTATTAAAACTATCAAGTAATACTTTTTGTATTTAAATTTATTATTTTTATTAGTGTTTATTGAGTTTGATTTTTAAGTGGAATTGAAATGTTTTTAATTTTATTAGTGTTTATTAAATTTGATTTTTATTAGTGTTTTTTAATTTTTACTACGTTTTGTTAATATTTATTAGTTTTAAGTGGAGGTTTAGTGGATTTTTAAATTAATATTTTTATTTTTGTTGTTTTATGCATGGTTTTCAAAACTGGACCAGACTAGATGGTTGGACCGGAAAAACGGGGAACCGGTCAAGTGATCGGTTCCGTTTTCCCCCAAAACCAGATTTTTGCAAAAAAAGCGTTGATTTGGTTAGCAAACTGTTGACTTGGACGATTGAACCATTTGAACTGTTCAACGATTTTGACTGTTTTTATTTTTTAATTTTTTAAAATTTTATCAAAACGGACCAAATGGTCGGACCTTTTGACCTGGGAACCGAACTCCTTGACTAGTTCATTGTCCGGGTTAGTTTTAAAAACCTTGGTTTTATGTTTGACTGTTTAACCTCAACCTATTTATACTATTTGGCTTATTAATATTTGACTTTATTATGTTGTATTACTACCTCTCTCTTTCTCTCTCTCTCTCTCTCTCTCTTTCTTAAATGCCTTTTTAAATGTAATAATAACATCCATTAAAATAAGAGTCATTGGAAAACCCAAATGTCTCTCTTTCTCTCTCTCTCTCTGATAGTGTGTAGTTTTATTAATCTAATCAAAATAGGTAATGATTACTTTTCTATATTTTTAAAACAAAAAATAAGAAAAATACAAAAAATAAACAAAATATATAAATAGTTTATCTCAAAGGAAAGACATGCTGACATATCAACCTTGGCTTGGCTTGGGCCCAATTGACCTTACTCCCAACAAAGAATAAGGTTATTCATTATATAGTCTAAACCACCAAACCAGACCGAACCAAACTGAAATTGGTAATTTGGTCTTAAAAAAGATCTGGTCTGGTTGAGATTTTTTAGAATGTTTTCTTATTCGGTCTAGTTTTCTGAATTTTAGAAACTAGAACAAATTGTAAACCAAATTATTAATACATACACGACATAAGATTTCATTGAACATGTGAACATATCACATTACTCTTTGGTCTTTACTTCATAAGATTGAGTAAATCGATTAGGGTTGAAGGATATTAAGTAGGGCTAAGGTTAGAGTTGAATAGGTTGGGTTGGGTTAAGGGTTGACAGCATTAGGTTGGGCTAGAGTTGGCCGCTGAGTTAACTTGGCCCAACTCGCACCCCTATTAATAGGGTTGATCATGGGTTTTGCCACACTTAGCACCTAGGTAACTACTATAGGGGTGCGAGTTGGGCTTGGGCTAAGCTTCCAGGTGTACAACGTTAAATAAAAATTAYTAAAAAGATAATATAAGATATACCCTATGTAATATAAAATATAATTCATATTATATAAAGCAAACTTTTTTCATGTCTCGTATAAGTTATAAAAGTTAAATATAAATACCGTATATCATATATAATTAATACTTATAAACCTACAAAATACATGCTCTTACACAACTATAACATATACATGTATCTCGGGCCTAATAGGTGCAACTTAGAAGTTGGGTCCAGGGCTGGGCTAGCTACAAATAATTAATCACCCCTACTGTTAAGGTATGATCCAAGTGAGTTTTTTGTTCATTTGCACAAGCTCTTGAAGTTGGAAGTATGAATGGTGGTGTGGGTAATTTGGTGCAGCCCTTGAGGAATTAAGATGACCATCATATCTGATCTAATTCAATGTACACAAGATAAATTATTTTTGTTGGTCGTGCATCAAAATGCCTCCTGAGACAAAATTCCACTATACTTTGATAGCTAGATTTTATGGCTTAATTTAGCTTTAACAAAAGCACAAGGCAGTCTTGCTAGGGAAGCTAATGTTGGCACAGACAGATAAGGATTCTGAACCTTGAGTGTGGAGTGATGAACGTCACTACCAAGTACCAACTGGTTCAACCTTCCTGCTGACACTGCTTAGCATTTAGAAAAAGGGGTACTTGTTTGTGCATCCTTTTTCAGCCTGAATCCCTGATAGGTGATATCTCTAAGGTAGGCATATAAAGAGAAACAGGGCAGACATTAGCTTGGAACTGGTTTGACCACTAGTTTCTGGGTTGATGGTTCAATCATTTGATTTGAACGAATAATCTATTCCAACTTCAAAAAAATAAAAAATTATTGAACGATCAATGATTTGACTGCCTGAATCAATGGATCGCTGACGAAATCAATAGTTACCTCAACAGTTACCGGGCCGAACAATCCAACCGTCCGGCTCAACAAAAAGTTAGACTGATCCAAAGCGGTCAATTTACCATCTATGGGTATCGAAGGTTTAATTGTTTTTTTAGTGGAAGAATGAATCAATCAACTCAACAACTCAACAAGAATAAAAAATTTTCAAGGGTCAATGTTATTCCTTCCTTGGAAAATGATCCATTCACTTGGTCTTATGGCGCATCTCCCTACAGGGTTTATACAATACATATATATTAGTTTGAAAATACTTGTTGATATATATATATACTATCTCTTTTTTAGGTGTGGGACAATAGGATTTAATTAGTTTCAAAATCGGGCCAAGCAAAACGATCAACCACATTTTTTTTTCTGAGCAAATTAACAAAGAAATTAATGCTGAGTGACGATGCAAAAGCAATTGGGGGAGTGATCAAAATCATTCCATCTTGTTGTATGGAGCCTCAATTAGTCACATTACCCATGTTTCAGATGAAGGCTGCTGCTGTATATATAATATTATATATGAATTTGGAATCAATAGATAGAAAGAAGGATTATATGCTATATATGAACTTGGAGCGCAAGAAGAGAAGAGTGAAGAGTAGTGAATGTATATGTATGGGGACATATGGTATTATCCTCCACCTTCACCTCCACGCACCTTCCACCTTCCCTAGTCGAAGAATATAACAAAAAAGATGCTGCTGAGTGCTAAGGTATGAATGATTATTATCACATATTCACATGCGCTTAATTAGTCCAATCACGAATTTCACTCAGAACCCAATATTTTCTGTGGATAAAGAAACTCGTGGCGTACCTCTAGCTATCATAGCAGCTATGAGATCATGCGATGATGTACGGTGGGAGTCGACTACCCTTGTGAGCTCAGCAGATGATCAGTAGCGTTGATTCGGTGTCTGATTCCCCACTACTAGCCATAGGCCTATAGCTAGCTAGTATGTAATCTGAAATCATCTCCAACCCAGACCCAGTGGAGAGTGGAGAGTGGAGAGAAAAAAATATGAAATAGTGATCGAAAAGCGTGGATGTGATTGGAATTAAGAATTTTATTCTTGCTTTAATCTGCTTAGCTTATTCTAGACTCTAGAGTGTATTTGACTCTACTAGCTATGTACAGTACACAGAGAAGCAGACGCTAGTTTGTTTACAGAAGGCTACAAATACGAGCTGGGGCGGGAATGAATGAAACAGAGAGAGCGAGTGAGGCCTGGCTAGCTGAAGAGGATTAAGCAGAGAAGAGTGAAGAGAGAGAATTGTATTTGTAATTTTGTATGGGCGGAGGGATGAAGTGGTGGGAGGAAGGGAAGCCTGTTGTTGCAATGCTGGCTGTTGATTTCGCCTTGGCTACTGTGAATGTATTCCTCAAGAAGGCTCTTGACCAGGGAATGAACCATCTGGTTCTCATAACCTACCGACAGTGCGTTGCCACCGTCTTCTTAACCCCTATTGCCTACTTCTGGGAAAGGTGCGTACCAGTGTACTGAGGCATACTCATGACTCATCCCTTCTTTTTCGGGTTTGGGTTAGACAGGATCCAACTTCAAGTTGGGCTTGGGTCCAATAATATATAGCTTTAATTAAACTACTTTCTTTTCCATTCATTGCAAATGGACCCATGGTCATGGAATTGGCAATTTGGCACCCGCTATATATATATAGTTGATGTCTTAACTGAACTTCTTCTCCAACCAACTCCAGGCCGGCTTCAGGAGTACAAAGACAAATGTGCAGAGTGCAAATTAAACCTTATATTTTGTATGTATTTGCACGGTACATATTTGTTTTTGTACTCTTTCCAAATTAAGCTAGCTAAAAGTGTCTTGATTTTTCACATGATGCAATTTTACATCACTTGAGCTGCTTCTTTTTCATCTTCTTTCAATACAAATGTACAAGATAAACTTGATCAATTTGGTTGCAGGAAAAGCAGGCCCAAGCTCACGGGTCGCATTTTATTCAATCTTTTCTTAAGTGCAATGGCCGGGTTAGTGACACTGACATGTACAAACCTAATATATATATATAGCAGAGCAGCAGCTATTGGCTTATTGCTCTGCTGCTGCTGCTGCTGCTGCTGCTGTTGTTGTCTAATATGGTATTTCATCACTTATAATATTGTATAGGGCAACATTCACACAATACTTCTTTCTTCTTGGAATACAATATACATCTGCCACCTTCTCCTGTGCTTTCATCAACCTGGTGCCTGTGGTCACATTTTTGATGGCTCTGCCATTTGGGTATGTATAGAGTAAGACAATTAACATATCCTCGTTCCTCCGGACAGTAGATCATCAATTATATATACTTAATTGGGTTTTTCCTTTCATGCACAACAGTCTAGAGACAGTAGACCTAAAGAGCAAAGGTGGGATTGGGAAGGTGTTGGGGGCACTAGTGTGTGTGGGAGGTGCCATGTTGCTGGGACTTTACAAAGGAGTAGCATTAACAAAACCTTCAAATCCCCAAGCCCTAACTCATGCCAACAGCCTTAGTCCGAGCAAGAGGGCAGAGAGATGGAGGAATATTGGTACATTGGCCTTGGTCGCTGGCTGCACCTTGTGGTCTTCTTGGTTCTTCATCCAAGCAAGGATTGGCAAGCAATACCCATGCCAGTACTCCAGCACCACCTTCATGTCATTCTTCAGTGCTCTTCAATCCGCTACGCTCAGCTTGGTTGTGGGCGGAAGGGATTTTTCCTCGTGGATTCTTTCAAGTAAAGTTGAGATGTTAACTGTCTTGTATGCTGTAAGTATATATATATATATCAATATACTCTTATTTAGATCGCATCTCTCTCTCTATTTAGAAATTAATTAATAATTTCTGGCAACAGCCCACAGAGTTTTCTCTGATGAGCTTTTAATTAATTTCTATCAATGTGAAATTGCAGGGAATAATGGGATCAGGGTTGAGCTTTGTGGGGATGTCCTGGTGTGTAAAGAAAAGGGGTCCCCTCTTCACTGCAGCATTCAGTCCTCTCATTCAGGTCGTTGTAGCCATGTTTGATTTCTCCATTCTGAATGAACAACTTCACCTGGGAAGGTGTGTTGTTCTCTCATCTCTACTTCTCTGGCCACTGCCCACCTCCATTTTTTTTTTTTCTATATATACACCTAAAACTGATCAACTTTCTTTGTGGGCATTGTGATGGACAGCGTCTTGGGATCAGTCCTGGTGATTGTTGGCCTGTATACCCTTCTGTGGGGTAAAAGCAAAGACGCCCAAAATTGCGCAATTAAGCAACCCCAAGCACCCGATGATCAGGAGCAGGAATATCAAGAGCAACCAGTGTAATTAATTAATGAATTCCTGGTGTTAATCGACACAAATTATCAAATCATGTCTAATATAGTTCAGGAATTTTGTTGGGCCTTGTAGTTGTAACTTATTCTCAGACATTTTCTAAATAGTCTTGTACGACTGTGTTACTGTGCTGAAATTTCATATATGGGCGCCTCGCGTCCAGACAATCCTCCACTTCAGTCTCCATTAACACACCGAAATACATACATATATACATTCAGTCTAGCTCTAGCTACCACTTAATAATTTAATTGTGGATACTGTCGAAATGCATTGTAACCATGAAATTAAATTAACGTACCCCAATTAAGCAATGACACAAGTTCCATAAACTCATAAAGACATATATATATGTAAACGTATGTATGTATGTATGTATATGAGTACACATACGTACACACAACATTATTAATGTTGATAATACGTACGGTATCTATTGTCTATACCAAAAAGGTTATTGATAGTAGTAAATATATAATAAAACTAATGGGAAGACGTATACGAATACGTGCTTGTATTTGTATATTTCAGTTTTCATGCCTCGCCATCGCCACTTCTACTGTCATCATCGGAGAGCTGGTGATCAGTTTTGGAAGAGTTTCCTCGTTCTTTCTTTCTCCCCTTCCTTCCTTGCTTCTCCGGCCCCTTATGCTCTTCTCTCTGATCAACAGAGTCCGACATTTCCAGGTGAACACCCGGATCACTGGAGCTGTAGCTCCCACCCAACATGATGGAGTTATTGATGGCCTGGAAATTGCTGTTCACGTAAGCGCCCATACCCTCGCCCATTGATACCTTGTGAGGATCAGACGACATCTCATCCAAATCCGATTTCATTGTCGCTCCGGTGTTGCTCCCGGCGAGGGTGATGACACTCGAACCACGCTCATCTTCGTCGACCCCATCCCCTATCTGGCGTCTGGACCCAGTGAGGCGGTTCGTTATTGCAGAGACCATGTCCCGGACTTCGCGATCCAGTTGTTTCTGCTGCAGCTTCTCTCCTTCAGTGCTGGAGTGGCCGAGCCTCTTGGGGTTGCTGGACTCAAGAGTCATGGCTTAAAGATGATGATGAAGGTATTACGGCGACGGTGGTCGTTTGCTTATCGATCGGTGATAGTGATTGTAGTATGCAGTGTTTTCTGGGGAAAGGGTTTATGAAGGGAAGCTTCGGGTGTCACTGTTGCAGTAGTCGTCCGAGGAAAGAAAAAGGAGGTGGGTCGCAATTCACATCATCACATGCCACAGAAAGAAAAAGAGACTGAATCAAATGGAGTTCTTTACCCACTCTGAGAGACAGGCATCGCTTCAAGGATTTGGTTTCGATTTAATGCTTTTGTGCCCATTACGCAGCTTTAAAGCTTAAATTAAGAGCAGTACATGCATAAATGCAAATCCCTCTCACTACCAAATCTTCCTTTCTTTTTCATTTACGTTTTAACTTTAATCAACACTAGACACCTATTGAATTTCAATTTTGGAAACCTCTGTAACGAGATCCTTTTGAAACTTTGGAAATTCGGATGAGTTTTTTTTTTTTTATAATTTTAATTAATAAAATCTCAAACTCAAAATTTCAGCCAAAATTAATAAACCCGCCTGATATTTTTCACATATCATTTTGGCGTCAATAACCGAAGATCACTAAGACCATTTTTTAATTATATATATATATATATAAACTTTTTTGAAGTAAAAAAATTTAAAGTTTAAAGAAAAATATTTTCTTAGAACATGATAAATTGATAACCATGTCCTTTTATCTATCTATACCATATAAAGGTGATTCTTGCCTTGGTTCCTATGCAATCTAGAAAAAAAGTTAATTAAGGTGATGTTTGGCAAGGATGTAGATTCTTCTTTACAAATTTTTAAAAAATCAATGACTTTTGAAATCAGTGTTTTTCCAAAAATTGGTAAAATTTGTTATTTGGTATCATTTCTGCCATTTAAGCCAATTTTTGTGAGATTGACTGTACATATGAATTTTGGCCAATTCTTGAAATCAGTGTTATTTGTTATTTGGTATCATTGTAATTTAGCTTAGTGACTGTATGTTTGGATGCAGAAAGCCACAGAGTGGTTTTATACAATGAATTTCAAGGTTGCTTAACTGTACATATGCTCTTTAAAACATTTGAAAGCTTTGGCAGAAATTTTCTTAAATAAAATGAGGGATGGGATAAAATGAAAGCAAATACATGGAACGAATTATTAAACAGTTTTTTTTTTGGTACAGAATTTTATCAAAGAGTTGAAGTGCTCCTTTGCATTCTAAAATTTCAGAGGAAAATCTTTTCTTTTTTTGGGTATTATATAAAACACATTACAGGGGGACTCATGGGGTGGGGACAGAGCAGGATGCAGGATGTATGTGAGATCCACTGACCTTAGCACTGAAGCATGACTTGGATGTTAGTAATCTGCATAATAGATCAAACAAGAAAAAAAAAAAAAACACTTACCTGTCCCCTTCATCCTATCAGCACAATGAAACATATTCACAGGATGCAAGTTTTTGATATGGGGATCAATCAAAACAGTGTTGGTAGAAGACATGAGGTGGACCAGGTGGTTGGTACAAGGGTATCATGGTATCAGCATGGGGCAGAATTCAAACCTTCATTGGATAACATAGTTCTTCTTTAGAGAAAAAGGAAATAGCAAGAAGAAGAAGAAAAAACAAGTCCGTGGCTATGGATACCATTACTGAAAGAGGTGCAAACTTGAACTTCAGTAGAATCATTAACAAGATACAGCCTAAGGGCCTCCATAAAGAGTCCTATTCCAGAGAAGTGGTCAAGCCCAAGAGAAAAGTGATTCCTTGTCCATTCTATTACTTATTTTACTGATACAAGTTTGTCAAAACCATGCATTTTTCTATATTTCCAAATATTCATGCCATCTGAGAAAAAGGTCCTGCAGTCTTCTATTGTTCATATGGAATTTGCAATGCAAAAATTTAGGCTACACATACTTCAACCGTCTTTAGATATAGAAATCCAACAAGATAATCTTCCTCAAGGTTTACAATTTTCATACTTCAAAAATGAAAATCTTGGCAATAAATTTTGAGATGCATAAGACTTTACAATTTGAGGGAAGTGTCAAGACAACTAATGTGTTTCTAAACACCCTCAAAATGCATAGACACAATTAATGCTTAAACCAAATAGTACAACGATAACCATAGATTATGAATATGACAAGATTTTGGAACAAAAATATAATTAATGACTATGCAAATAATTTCAATATAAATGTGACTTCTGGTTAACTCTCTCTTGTTTCCACCAAAAGACAAGTTTATCATATAGGTTCTTATCATTTCTCTTAGCTTTTGGTTGAATTATCACCAATACTTTTCAAGGTTGTTTAATACTAGATTTCCTTTGACAGATTTTGGGATTCAATTAAATGGGGAAGCTGTGATGGAGTACCAATACGTAACCACCCGAACCAACCGGCGCCAGCTCCGCCTTAGAGAGGAGTCCCCATTCTAGAGGATTCCTTACGCTACTTGGCGTCGGATGATGGGCATCAAACGGCGGACATCGAAGGCATGCTCGAGTTACCTAGTTGCTTTACAAGTTCAAGCTATCTAGTTGCTTTACAAGTTCGAGTTACCAAGTTGTTTTATTTTACAAGTTTGCCAATGTTTTGATACGTTATAAATACCTCTGTTTTAAGCTTTAATAATACAAGAATTTCTTTCATCAATTCTCTCTACTATTGAGGCTATACGCCTAGTATTTTATGTGAGTCTTATCGAGTCCAGAATCAAATTCAATCGAACGGGTGTTCGTCAGGTGGTATTAGAGCGAGAGTTCGCCCAATCAGATGGCCAACCAAGACGGTAGCAGTCGCAACCAACCCCGTGACGGAGATCAGGGGCTACAAGCTGTTTGGAGAGCAATCGAAGAGCAGCGAACAACCACTCGTAACATTGAGCAATAGTTGGCAGAGATCGCTAGACAACTACGAACTATGTTGTGAGAGGATGTTCCAAGGAATAGGGATAATGCATTGCATCAAGCCGGAGGAGACGACCACGGTAGGCCAATCATTGATCCTATACCTCAATTACCCAGGAACCCTATTATTGATGATGATAGCGACGATGAACTAGAGTTCGGCGTTGCTCCAGTTAATCCCGGTGATGGTAGGACTGGTAGGAATTGGCGATATCATGGCAATTTTAATCGCCGTCGGAATGATGATGAGTTTAAACTAAAAGTGGATATCCCTACTTTTAGTGGATATCTGGATATAGAGGGTCTTCTAGATTGGATCACCGAGGTAGACCGTTTCTTTGAGTACATGGAGATCCCGGAAGAGAGAAGGGTGAAACTAGTAGCTTTTCAATTGAAGGGAGGAGCATCTGTTTGGTGGGAACGAATGAGGGAGACTCGGATCAGAGAAGGAAGAGGTCCAGTTTGAACATGGAGACGTATGAAACAATTAATAAGAGGAGTGTGAGCGAGTACACCTCAGAATTTCTGAGATTGGCTGAGAGGAACCAACTGTCAGAAAGTGACAATCAACAAGCAGCCCGTTATTTGAGTGGTTTGAAACGAGGAACCTAGTTTTGAAGGCTGAGTTGATGTTTCAAGAGAGAACTCAAGCTGATAATTATCGACGGTATAGCGGGAATAACAATAGGCCAGCAGTGGTTGAAAAGGGCAAGTCAACTCAAGGGGTGCAACCCTCCAACTCGCCTAATGCAGCTAACACCAATAAGGCTGCAACGGGAGGAAACACTCGAGGTAACACTTCAAACCCTCCTAAAAATATTAATCCGTATGCAAAACGTGCCCCTTTTAAGTGTTTCAAGTGTAATGAAGTTGGGCATAGGTCTAGTGATTGTCCCAGGAGAAAGGCAGTTAACATAGTAGAAAGGGAGGAGGAAGAAGTTTGTGATGATGAAGTGTATTGTGGGCCCGATGGAGAGAACGAAGGAGGTAATTATGAGCATGAAGAGTACACGTGTGTTGTGAGGAAGCTCATGTTATCTCAGAAAAGTAAAGATGACACACAACGACACAGGCTGTTTCGCACTAGGTGTACGGTGCATGGTCAATTATTTGAATTTATTATTGATAGTGACAGCCAGAAGAATATTATTGGCAGAGATGTGGTAAAAAAGCTGCAACTAATTCATGAGAAACACCCGAACCCTTACACGATCGGTTGGATCAAGGAAGTTGGGAGCGTGCGTGTGGAAGAACGCTACAAGGTTCCATTCTCTATTGGTAAGTATACTGATGAGGTTTATTGTGATATTGTGGATATGGATGCTTGCCATATTTTGCTTGGTAGGCCTTGACAGTTTGATGTAGATGCCAAACACTTGGGTAAGAAGAACACATACCAGCTTGAGAAAGAGGGTGTGCGCTATACACTATTGCCTATAGCGAAAAAAGAACCAAACCAAAACTTCAAAGGTGGAGGAGAGGAATTTTCTTACCATAACACATCGCTACTCTGAGTTTGTAAGGGAGTGTAAAAATACCCGTGAGGTCCACTTACTAGTTATAAAAGGGGAGAGTGTGAGTGAGCCACTAGGGGTGAACAAAATTCCAGTGGAAGTGCAGGGATTGCTCGCCGAGTTTCATGATGTAGTTCCTGACTATTTACATAATGAGCTGCCACCCATGCGAGATGTTCAGCACCACATTGATTTTGTTCCTGTTGCTAGCCTACCTAATCTGCCACACTACAAAATGAGTCCTAAGGAGAATGAGATCTTACGGGAGAAGGTAGAAGAGCTGTTGAAAAAGGGGCACATCCAAGTTAGCATCAGTCATTGTGCGGTGTCGGCATTATTGACACCGAAGAAAGATGGGAGTTGGAGGATGTGTGTTGACAGCAGAGCAATCAACAAAATCACTATTGGCTACAAGTTTCCCATTCCTAGGCTGGATGACATGCTTGATCAACTTGATGGGACTGTGGTCTTTACCAAGATTGATCTCAGAAGTGGTTATCAACAGATCAGAATCCGTCCCAGAGACGAATGGAAGACAACTTTCAAGACAAGGGATGGATTGTTTGAGTGGTTAGTCATGCCTTTTGGACTAACTAACGCACCAAGCACTTTCATGAGACTGATGAATCAGGTACTACGTCCTTTCATTGGTAAATCTGTTGTGGTATATTTTGATGATATTTTGATTTATAGTAAATTTGTTGATGAGCACATAAGACA